ATGCTGAGGCTACAAAGCAGAGTCAGAGTCACTGGCCAGAGCCTGGTAGTCATTCATTATTTTCATTTAATAAACTGTATACCAGATCCTTCTCTAGATACTCGGCATACATAAAGACACAGTTAAGAGTTTTTTAACAGAGAGATTTTGCTAAAGGGCACGTGAGCTCACTGGAGATACAGAGACAGAGACAGAGAGAAAATGAGAAATCACCCCCTAGGGGGGATGGGCATGGTGTAATCCCCTCTCCATTCTCCTCTCCAGATCTTGGGTATGCACACACACGCCTGACGGGAGCGTTAAGCCGTCTGATCTGGGATTCAAGCCATGGTCAACTATGCAGGAGTCCAGCAATGTAACTATTACGCCATCTGCTGGTCCTAAGGGTGGTTTTTGTAAATTAGCCAGCTGACTTCCTGCTTCAGAATCCTTTGAGAGTCCACCACTAGGCCAGTGAGCACACATTTGCCTTCTCAGCCCTACCAGGTCTGACACACCAAATTTTAGACACTGGAATTGGAATGAGCCCTTGGTTAGTAGGCTGTCAACTCAGTCCCAGCTCATTATTCCTTCTGGTAGTGCATTCTCTTCACTTGCCTTGTTCCTTACGACCAAGTCCTAATTTCCTGTAACCTAGTTCCTGCTTGGGCTTCTGCCTGCCTGGTGTCTGGGTTTTCCTGCCCATCACCTGACTCTCTTGTCTGCTACTCTGTCTCCCTTGGAAGAACACCTGCAGCCTGTAGTGGCAGGGGTTTTTTGGCTCCCGGCTTTCCTGCAGCTCTCTCTCTGCCTCCCATCCGATCTGGCTCACCTGGCCTCCACCTCCATGATGCAATCAGCCACAGGTACTGTTTTGAAAATATCAAATATCCTGAAGAGGACATCCTTCTAGGCACTAACAAATCTACACTAAATATTCAGCCTATTCTTTCTGTAGGCTTTTTCAGAGAATGGATTTTTTGGAAAGCACAAAACATTGAGTCCATTATCTGGATCCTCCCTATCAGCACAATTAGACTTCACGGCAGTGCCTGAGCCACATCTGCTCGCATGTTTGTTGACTTTTAAGGGAAACCAGTGACCCTACCAACCCTCGTGTATTGTGTTTACTGTTAACTGGAATTCAAATTACACTTTGGGTATCTTGTTAGATACAGTTTTAGTTTACCGTTACGTAATAAATGTTATTTTCTATCTGAAATGTTAATAACACATTCCAATAGAAATGATTCTCAAAAAAAAAGAGAGAAGAAAAAAAAAACATAGAATAATTTTAAAAAAAGGAAACAATTCTTCTGAAATAGCTATCCAAATTTCACATCCCAAATCATGAAACTGTTAACCTGCGTCCATGCCTTCCCTCACCTGCCCCATCCATTCTAACATAAAATGTGTGTGTAAAAGTAATAGATTAATATTTAACAAAATGCATAAATACAGACAATTTTAGACTACATATAAGTTTTTATGGGGACTGACAAAACCTTGATACCTAGTTGACAGCCTATTTGCCATGGGGAATATTTTACGAACATCCACCCTAGTTCTCATCAGATCATGTTGTATACTTTGGCTTTTCTACTTGAGTGTAAGCCCAGTGTACAGGGATTTCACTGCAATACAGTACTCTCCCATATTTGTTCACAGTGTCAATTACCTGTAGCAAACCACAGTGCAAAAATATTAAATGGAAAATTCCAGAAGTAAACAATTTATAAGTTTTAAATTGTAAGCCATTCTGAATAGTGAGATGGACTCGCACACTGTCTGGCCATCATACCCATCAGGAATACAGTTCATTTCTTTGTCGAACATGTCTGCCCTGTGTATGCTGCGTGCCCATTAGGAACTTACAGATGTCTCTGTTATTAGACTGAAAACATGCAGTATATCCAGGGTTTAGAACTACTGCAGTTTGGGGGCATCCACTGGGAGCTTCACAACTTTTATATCCCCCATAAATAAAGGGGAACAAGTGTATTCTACTTCGAGAAAGTAGTTATCAGAGTTATTGAAACCAGCAGTTGGTGTAATGGCTATGTTGCTGGACTCCTATGTAGGTGACCACAGTTCAAGTCCTGAACCTGGTGGCTTACACTCACACTGGGTGCGTGTGCCTGTGCGCCCAGGATCCTGAGAGGAGAATGGAGGAGAAGGGATTGCGGGTGGCCATCCCCCCTGGGGTGTGATTTCT